CACATATGCAGACACTTCTTTTTTACATTTTTTTCAGTACTAATGTACCAGTACATACTGACAAATTAGTTACCTACTTATTTTATGTATAGATTATATTTTATGTATGTATTTACTTATTTTACTTTTTATTTTGAGTCCAGGAAGGTTGAACTTCTCATTCTTCTATCTCAGCTCCCGAGTTGATAAGATAGCAAACCTCTGCCAACAGATTTGGCTGGGCCGCTCTTGAACAAATGCAGCTTGAGTTAGCTTTCACTAAGGACGAATAACTGACAGACTATCCATAGCTTCTTTCTTGCAGCAGGCATTCTCCTGGGCCCTCCCACCTACTCATTATCTTTGGAGTGAGACCCGTGTGGCAAGAAGCTCAAGGAAGCCCCCCAGCTACCAATCAGCTCAGGAGATCCTTGGCCTCCGCACAACAGCCAGTAAGAATGCAGTGCTGCATATAACCACAGGAGGGCGCATGGATGCAAATGTTGGGCCAAGTAACCCTTGGGATGAAGGTTATCTGTGAGCCAGAAGGCCCAGCTAAACTTTGCCTAATTCCTGCCCCACAAAAACTGAGTGTATGACAGCATAACTGTGTTGTCTTTAGCTGTGAAGCTGTGGGTTCATCTGTATGCAGTGATAGAAAACTCGTGAAACTACAAGATAAAGACAGGGTCACAATCAAAGCAAAGCAAACGCCAGCCATCTATCCTCTGGGATCCACTCACAATCTTTTGGGAAGTGACCCCAAAGGTCACTTCTCCAGCTCTGCCTTCTGTAACACACACAGCTTGTCTTCTAGGCTCCAGCTGGCTCTGCTCCACAGTTGATGCTGTTCTTGGTGACCATCCCATGGTACTGGCATCTCCAATATACTGGGGTCTTCTGCTGCAACTAGTCTTCACCAATAGCCTCTCATGGGCTCTCTTCCTGATGCCAAGCCTCAACTTCTCTGCATGACCCCTTCATGACTTCAAAACCAGTACTACCTAGGTGACTCTTAAAGTACCAAGTTCAGCTGCCAGCACAAGGTACAACCTTGGCCATGCACGCTTCTGTGTGTGCTACCTCTCAGAAAAAAACTTCCCAGAAGATTTCACCTCAGTGATGCTGGTCTCTTCTTAATCACCACTAATTTCTCAGCTCCAGCCGACCAGCATTCAGTATCCCAACAAAGCAAAGGCTTCACTTTAGTGGTTCTGGTCTCTTGTTAATCGTAGCTGTTTCTTGAGCCTCAGCTAACTAGAACCATAGAGTCCCAATTCAAATAACAAATGGGCACATGGAGTCTTTAAACTTCCCTTTGAAACTTCACAAGGCAGGCCTCCATTGTCTGCATTGCCCTCAACATTTTTATCTTCCAAACTTCCACAGAACAGCTCACCAAGTTTTGTATGCTCAATGGCTTTCCTAGCCCAAAGTTCCAAAGTCCTTCCACAATCCTCCCCAAAATGACATGGTCATGTCTGTCACAGCAATACCATACTATCCTGGTACCAACTTGTCTTAGTTAGGGTTTCTATTCTATTCTAAACATCATGACAAAAGCAACTTGGGGAAGAAAGGGTTTACCAGCTTATGCTTCAACATTACAGTTCATCATCAAAGGAAGTCAAGACAGGAACTCAAGCAGGTCAGGAATCTGGAGGCAGAAGCTGATGCAGAGGCCATGAAGGAGTGCTTACTGGCTTACTCCTCATGGCTTGCTCTAGGACCCAGGACCACTAGCCCAGGGATGGCACCACCCATAATGGGCTGGACCTCCCCCCCCCATAAGTCACTAATTAAGAAAATGCCCTACAGACTTGCCTACAGCCAAATCTTATGGAGGCATTTTCTCAACTGAGACTCCCTTCTCTCTGATGACTATAGCTTGTATCAAATTGACATACAACGAGCCAGTACAGGGGCATTGGCTTTTTGGTACTCAGGATAAAACTCAGTGGAAGACTATTTGCCTCTTATGCATGAGGCCTGGGCTTCATCTCCAGTACCATAAATGAAAGGACGAAGGGTGTGGTAGCAGGGACTGGAGAAACTGAGGAAGATTGTAAATTGCAGGGTGGACTGATACAGTGAGCTCAAGGGCAGCCTCAGCCACAGTGAAACCCTGGTAAAGGGAAAGAAGAAAGAACTGACCTTCTGTACTTAGAGCTAAATCTTTGTCCTTGGAATCTCCATCTATTGTCCTGGCTCTATCCCTGCCACACAGAGAACAAATCCTCCGTTCAATGCAGGATTAACACCAATAGCTCGGTTCAAATACAAACTCCAATCCTTCCAGTCATGTATGACTCGAGCAAGTTATGTGACCTTCAGGGCCAGCCGTAGGAGTTAACATCACCTGCCGTAGGGAGTTGGATTGAGTTTGGGGTTATTTATGACTGGTTTTGTTTGTGTGTTTGGATTTTAGTGCCTTAGATCAAACCCGGGGCCTCAGGCACAGTACATGCCCTGACATCGCTGGAAGCCCTGTGCCAGGGTTCCAGGGAGACAAACGCACAATGACTTAGCACAAACTCAGATAAGGGTGTCTCAATGCACTCCCTATCAAAGCAGTGGCAAGCCAGTGAGGCTGCTGGAGAGGCTCTCCAAGGCTAGGTGACTCTAAACTCAAGCATCTACCTCCTGGTGCTGGGATTAAAGATGTGCCCACCTCTGAGCTGGGCTTTTGAAACCTAAAAGTCCACTCCTAGTGACACACCTTCTCTAACGACGCCACAGCTCCTACTCTTTCCTAAATAGTCCACTAACTGAGACCCAAATGTTCAAATACATGAGCCTATGGAGGGTGGAGGGGTGGGAGGTGGGGGGAGTCATTCTCCTTCAAACCACCACCATAGAGAAGAGGAAAGATGATTCCTGCCATCAGCCTAGGATCTCCACACACGGGCCCATGAACATGCACATTACCATACACATGCAAAAACACACATGCACACCAACATGGAGAACAGAAAAGAAAGCATCAGATGTCTGCATGTGCTTAAGTCAGACTGGAAGTCAAGTTGAAATGTCTGTGTCATCCAAGGAGCTAGAAAACCGTTCCATGAAGTACATGCAGACATCTGATGATTTGACTATTTTCTGTGCTTCCCTTTCCCTCCCTGCCCTTTGTGGTATTTTTACTTCAGCAAATGACAGATAGCAGGGCGGTGACTTCTTCAAGCTTTTACTTATTTACACATCTATTTTTTAAATTTATCATGCTGGGGATTAAACCTAGGGTCTCACACATGCTAAGTAAGCATTCTATCACTCGATACACTCCTAACCCTTATTTATTTATTTATTTATTTATTTATTTATTTATTTATTTATTTATAGTCAGTCTAAGTATAAAGCCCAGGCTAGCCGGGCTTTCACAATACTGGCTGGGCCTCTGAGTGATAAGATGACAAGCCAGGGTCACACTATCCAAACTTGACTTTGTCATTGTTGCTTGTATTTTTGTTTGTTTGTTTGTTGAGGCAGAGTCTCACTGTGTAGCCAAAGCTGGACTGGAACTCACTATGTAGGCTAGGCTGGCCTTGAACTCACAGAAATCTACTTGCCTCTGCCTCTTGAGTGCTCTGATTAAAGGCACTGGGCGATACATCCGCCCTGCTTACTTTCATTTTTTTAAATCTAATTCCTAGCGGGAAGTGGAAACTGGGCAGGAATAACAGTACGGTGGGTTACCTCCAGGAATTTACGGGACTTAGAGAGTTGCGACTGCCAAGGACATCCTGGCTTGAGGCTAGAGTCACAGCCCAACAGTGGCAAAGACTGACTGCTCTGGGGTCAGTCTGGAAAGGGAGCACAGGATAGAAATCAATCCGGTTTCAAGTTCATACCCAGGGCAGTCACAGAAAGTGCCAGGAGGGGAAAGGATAGGATGTTTACCACACAGTCCCTGGGCAGCCATGGGCATCCAGGAGAAAGTGATGCTGAGTCAAGAAAGCATTGGCCCAGTTTACAGTAAGAGCTGTGAGGACAGCCTGTCCTGTTACACCCCACCCACAGCCACCAGAAAGTATCTGCCTGCAGGGAAGCTTCCGGTAATAGTTTCCTGGCTCCTCAGATGACACAAACATTCCAGCTATGACTTCCAGTCTGATTTCAACAGACTTAAGCAAGTGGGGAAACACCATGTGCCTCCAGGGGAAGAAATTTTGGCTGCCATCTCCACCCTTTCCCTCAGCATCTACCCGTGAGTGGCAGTGAGGAGGGTTATGTGGGGCTTGCCATCCGTGTTTCAGAACACGACCATCTGGCCCTCCCTGCTTGGCAAACATCCGGCAAAGGGTCCTGGTCCATATTCTCCCAGACTGGACTGTTCTTCTCTTGAATTCCACTCCCAGCAGAGACTCCTATCATTTTTTCCTGTTCTATCGCTGCCCTCCAAAAATAAATATCCTTAGCGCACGTCTTTATGGTCTCTAGTCTCTGACAAATGGCTGGTGCCTCAGTGGATTCGAACCCTATACTCATCTTGGGCAAGTGGCTATGTGACTGCGCCTCCGTTTCCACTTTTCTACTGTGAGAGTAATGAACGCTCCAACCTGAGTTTTAAGGGGAGATGACAGCTCTAACAGTGCCCGCAGCACATGACACGCAGGGGGTACATCACCAACAGCGGTTAAGACCGGGCTAGGGCTGGTTTTGTAACCTGTTCACACTGCCAGCTTAGTTCTCCTGTAAGCAGGGTCTCCAAGACCCGCTTTCACCCAGGCTAGCACACAAGACACGCGCGGGAACTGTGTCCCCGTTGCATGAACTGGGCGGCCGCAGGGGGCTCGTTGCTCCGCGTCGCCTCTGCACCCGACCCCTCGGGCCCCGGGGCTCGGGCAAAGCGCGCGCGAGCAGACTTCCTGGAACCGGTCCCCACCGGATCGCGGACCCTTTGCGCTCAGCCCTTTGCTCTCAGTCTCTGCGCCCTGAGAAAGGGGGTGTGACTCAGCGCGGGGGCGTGGGCAGGCTCTGTCCTACGTGCAAAAAGAGAGATGCTTGCAGACTTCGGGTCGTGCGCAGGCCATATCCCCCGAGCCAGAAGAAGGGCGTGTGCAGGCGGCGGGGGCGTGTGCAGGTGGTGCCCCCCACTCGGGCGGAGCTTTTGCGCTCGACCCAATACTCGCCACTATAAAGGTCGCGCTCCGAGTGCTTCTCTCCACCACGCGCCTTCTAGAACTCTACCGCCGGTCTCTCGTTAGTCTTCAACCGACGCCTCCACTCGCCATGGACCCCAACTGCTCCTGTGCCTCAGGTAAGGGGGACTGCTGACGGGCCTCTACAGGCTTCTGGGAGTTTCTGGGAGAGCTAGACAGGCTATTTGGCCCCTTCCCCATTAACTATTTTTAGAGTACTACCGGCTGCTCCTTCCGAACGAATTCTGGAGCACTCCTGCTCCCTTTAAACTAGTCCTTGAGATAGTGGCTCGTCCAACCTGGGTGGTTTGAACCTTAGTTCTTCGGAGAACTGCGTTCAGGTACGCCCAGGTCCCGTTCACCGGGCTCACTCACTGCCTTCTTCCTCTAGATGGATCCTGCTCGTGCGCGGGCTCTTGCAAATGCAAAGAATGCAAATGCACCTCCTGCAAGAAAAGTGAGTTGGATCTTCCCTACCCTTTCCCCTTCACTCCCTTGGGGTCCCTACTCCTCCCTCTCCCCCCGCCCCGCCCCGCGCTTTCCCGGGAGCGTCCAGGTGGGGTCCCTCTGACTCTGTTTTCCGGCTCACCGCTCAATTCTTCTTCCCCAGGCTGCTGCTCCTGCTGCCCCGTGGGCTGTGCGAAGTGCTCCCAGGGCTGCATCTGCAAAGAGGCTTCGGACAAGTGCAGCTGCTGTGCCTGAAATGGGGGGCTTCCCCATACCTGTGTAAATAGAATATGTAAGAGCCCAGCCTTTTTTTGTACAACCCTGACCCTGACCCAGTTTTCCACCTTTTTTTTTTCTATAAAGCATGTAACTGACAATAAAAACCGTTGACTTGATTAACGCAGTTTGTCTTTGTGCGTGGGATAAGGGGCTGGCGGAGGGGTTGAGATGGGACTGCCCCAGCCTGATTTGGGCTAGTCGGATTGATTACCTCTCTGGACTTTGACCATCTAGAAAGCGGCGGGCAGAAGCATGCATTGGTCACAGAAATGTGCCGATCCCACTGGGCGTGGGTATATTGGGGATTAAATCCGAAACTGCCTGCTTACTAAACCGGGTGTTCTAATGAGCCACAGCCCTACCCCTAGATGCATAACGATTCTGAATTAAAGTATGAAATACCTGTATGTATGTAAACTTTGGTAAATAAAGAAGGGAGTGAATCAGATATGACTATACCATGTGTAATAATCCCACCACTTGGGAGCCTGAGGCAAAAGGGTCATTGTAACTCTGAAGCCAGCTTTGTCTCAAATTCTGGTGACCTTTAGTTTTGGGACAAGATCTCACTGAATAACCTAAACGGTCCTTGAATTTAGGAGCCTCCTGCCTTAGACTTCTAAAGGATAACAGGCTCGGCTTTAAATCCATTTTTAAAAATTCAGTAACATGGGCTGGAGAGACGGCTCCAGGGTTAAAAGCACTGGCTGCTCTAACAGAGGCCCTGAGTTCATTTCCAGCACCCACATGATGGCTCACAACCATGTGTAATGAAATCTGGTGCCTTCTAGCATGCTGGCATACACGCAGGCAGAACATTATACATAGTAAATCTTTTTTAAAAAGTAACATGAACAAAACCATGAAAAGTACCTTAAACACTATAAATATCCAAGGGTGTGCCTTACATCTTGGAGACTAAATGGTACAATGTGTCCAGCCTAGAGCTCCCACGAGGAACTGCTGTACAGGGGACACTGACAGGAACTTTTTTCCACTCTTCCAGAGAGCCCAGTGATATGACTTGGCTGTCGGTCTGGAAGTTTCTCTTGGGGTCAGGCAGAAATCTCCTCTCATTCCAACCCCTGGCAATTTAAGTAAAGTAAGTAGGAATTTGGGTGGAATTGCCCAGTATCTTCCCAGGAGCAAGACTCCAGGTGGAGTCTGCAATTTGGAGGGTGCGGTGGAATTTCCTTCTCTTTAGGAAGCCACAAGGACATGAATGATACTCAATTAAAACCAACGGTTAATGCCCCCAGGTTATTTGTTAAGATAATGCGATTTGGTCTTCAATCAAAGGGAAAGAGGAGTTTCTTGGCCAGAAGTCAGGACCAACCTTGCCCTTGGGCTTTCTCTGTGAAAAGTAAATTTACAAGACAGCCCATATTTCTTGCTGTCAGGAAGTCCTAGTTCACAGCCCACTTTCTCTCTTACTGGTCATGTAGCCTGGACAAGTCACTGAACCTCTGACAGAGCCTGTTATGTCTCCAGACCGAACCCCTCAAGTGCTGATAGCCTGTCACTCAGCTAAAGCCTAGATGCTGATAACCACACGTCCCCAAAAAATACACATACTCGGGCAACCAAGCACAGACCTGACGTTTAAGGACTATCCTTTGTTAAGTGCAGTTTGGAAATCTGGCCTCATTTGTCCCTTGTATGCCCTTTACTGACACCATTCATTCAGGCCTGGCCTTGATTTAGGTGGTACTGATCTCAGGTGAGTGAGAATGTAACCTCAGAGATTTTCCTCTTTGTCTCCAAACAGAGCTAACAAACAAAGAAACAAACAAACGCCCTAAGTGTGTGTGGGATGTAATAGGAGGCCAGGAATGAATGCTGGGACCTCTCTTAGTCCCGAATACCTTGAAACCAAGTGAACAATAGATACCCGTTTAGCTTCTCAGTTAAAATGGAAGCCGTTGGGCTGGGAATTGGCACCCTGGTGGAGAGTTTACCTGGCTTGTGTGAGGTTCTGGGGTTCAACCCTAGAACCATTTAAAAAGGAGCAAAGGAACGTGGGTCTGGGGATGTAGCTCGGTGGTACAGCGCTCACCTAACACGCACAAACCCCTGGGTTCAGGTTTGGTGGCACACTCCAGAAACAGGACAGGAGGATCAAACACTCAAGGATCATAGCAAAGGCCTGGGCTACCTGTAACGCCATCTCAAAAAAGAACTCACAAAACACAACAGATGCTGTGATACACACACACATACCTGTATTCTAGCAACTTGGGAAGCTGAAGCAAAAGACTGTCTCAACCTCAAGGCCAGATTGGGCTGTTCAGTGAGTTACAAGCCATTCTGAGTTACAGAGTGAGACCCTTGAAAGAGGAGAGGAAGAAGAGGAGGAGGAGAAACTGGGACTGGTGACATACATCTATTATCCTAGCTACTCAGGAGACTGAGGCAGGGGGAGGATTTCCAGCTCAAAGTCTAGCTACAGAGCACATTTAAAGCCAGCCTGAACAACTGCGTGAGACCCTGTTTCAAAGGAAAAAGAAAGTAAAGTACTAGAGACACAGCTCAGATGGAGATGCTTGCCTGGTGATCAGGAGGCCTTGGTTTCAATCCTTAATGTAAAAAAAAAAAAAAAGTTTTCTTTACTGTTGGTTTGTTTTTTTTTTAATCTAATGCAGTCCCTGGATATCACCTAAAACAATCCCTCTGGAGAAAGAGTACCTCGGTTTTTAAAACCAGCCTGGAGTAGAGCGGATGGGTTACGGTGTGCAACCCCCCAGCCCAGGACGTGCCAAGATGTGCCCTCTCAGGAGTGGAGAATAATGTTGAGATGAGTTCTGTTAGCTCTGTTGCTGTGTCCGGGAGGAAGGGGCTCAACCAAGGGGCATGAGACAGACAATAAGGACCAGGAAAGTTAGTAACCAAGGCTAGTCTTTATAAAACTGTTTCCTTCGCTTCTGCTAGCTTCGATCCAGAGAGAGACCGGGGCGGAGGTGGTCGCTGCCCAGGAACTCCAGGAAAGGAGAAGCTGAGGATACCACGCTGCGAATGGGTTTACAGAGACAGTTGGGTGAATTCTCGTAATGCATCCAAGCAGTGATGGAACGTATTATCGGGAAAAGCACTACAGGAACATGATGTTCCACACGTCACACGGGTCGTCCTACCCGGGCCAGCGGCGCCAAAGGGGCGGTGCCGCTGTGCACACCAGCGCTCGAGGGAGCTCTGCACCCAGCCCGAAGGCTGCGCTCGGCTCTGCCAAGGACGCGGCGCGCGTGACTTTAAGCGCGGGCTAGAGCAACCGCCAGCTGGGTGTAAACCCTTTGCGCCCGGACCGGTCCAACGACTATAAAGAGGGCCGGCTGTCCTCTAAGCGTTACGACGACTTCAGTAGCCTGACTGCCTTTTCATCACTTACTCCGTAGCTCCAGCTTCACCAGATCTCGGAATGGACCCCAACTGCTCCTGCTCCACCGGTAAGACTCCCGGTCCTTGAGACTTGGCGGGAATAGGCACCTTTAGTTGGCGATTCATTCTGGTTGTTTCTAGAATCCGCTCTTGTAATCACCTGTTCTTGGAGTATTATTAGTATTATCCAAACGGCTTTTCCCCCCCCGGGTCGGGGTTGGGGCTAGGATTTAGACGCGCAAATGTCTAGTTCCTGATCACCCATGTAGTGGGGACATCTGGGTTGCGATTGAGTCCCAGGCGTTACTAAGCTTATTATGAATTGCCTAGGAAAGTGGGGAAAGGACCTTTGTGCCTTGGGAATCAAAGACACAGGTCCTCCCCTACCCTGTGAGGAGAGAAGTGGAGCCAGGCTCCCTGGAGTTCTGGGTGGGACTTCGTGAACTGAGCCGGGATGTGTGGTGTTGGCCGCTGCTGTCATCCTGCCTCTCTCATCACTGTCTTCTTTTCCTCCACAGGCGGCTCCTGCACTTGCTCCAGCTCCTGCGGCTGCAAGAACTGCAAGTGTACCTCCTGCAAGAAGAGTGAGTTGGGACGCCTTGGGTGGCCGCTAAGGTTGGGGTCGGGGAACTCCTACAGAACTGGCTCTGAGAAACTGGCTCTGTCTCCCGAGGCCATTGTATTGTCTCAAGACAGGGCTATGCCGAGAGACAATTCAAAACTAAAGTCGTCTCTGTTGGGGATGAGAAGCAGGTCTTCAGCCAGTCCTGTGTGACAGGAGGGACTCGGAAGCCTCCTCTGACCTCTTCCTCTTCCTTTCCAGGCTGCTGCTCCTGCTGCCCGGTGGGCTGTTCCAAGTGTGCCCAGGGCTGTATCTGCAAAGGCGCCTCCGACAAGTGCACGTGCTGTGCCTGATATGAGAGACACTGCTGCCCCCACGTGTACATAGTATCGGACCAACCTGGAGTCTTCCCGTACAGTTCCACCCTGTTTACTAAACTCCGTTTTCTACTGAGTATGTGAATAATAAAAGCCTGTTTGATTTTAACTCTTGGTTTTCTTGGTGTTGTTTAGAAATAAGAAACTGAGGTGGTGACGGGTTAACTAGATAGTCTGGGGATCTGACTTTGGACTCACTGGTGCTGGCCTCTGGCCCCCAAAGAGGGGTAGTGTCTTTGGGTAGAGCCAAGTTATCCCATGAGCTTCCTCATATGGAAGACAGCAACCGGTGCCTGCCGGATCAGGTCTGTGTTAGGGGAAGGGATGGAAGGGGGTCCTGGGAGACACAATGTCCTATCCTCGAAGCACAGAAAATCTTATTCTCTTTGGATTCCGGTTTCTTCTCATTGTTGGGTATATGGGGGGAGGTACACTGGTGTCTAGCGTGTTAGGCAGGGACTAACACTGAACTATATTCCAGCCCTATTTTTGGTGGAGAGATGTGTTAGAGGGGCTTTGTTGGCCGTTTTGACAGTTGCTTAAATTGGCTTAGAACTCATTCTGCAAGTTCAGTCTGAATTTTTGATTCTCCTGCCTCAGCTTCCCAAGTACCTGGGATTACAGGACTGACTGTGCCACCAGGCAATTTAAAAGTGATAGAGTGTGGCTCATGCCTGTAATCAAAGCATTTGAGATGAAACAGTAGGAGGGACAGGAATTCAAGACCACACTAGGTATAAGTTTGAAGGCAGCCTGGGCTACGTGTGACCTTATCTCAAGTGTCACAGAGTAGGACACAGCTTCCAGATGTTTATCCCCAAAGGTTCTATATAGTTCAGTTTTTCATTTGCGTGTGTGTCTGCACACGCACACACACGTGTTTGAGGTGAACAAGGAGGCCTGAGATCTTCATCACTTTCCACCTTACCTTGTGAGACGTGATCTTTCTCCCCCACACCCCTTTCCTTCTCCTTCTCAGTCTGGCCCCTCTCGCTCGAGCCCAAAGGTTTTTATTTATTATATGTAAGTACACTGTAGCTGTCTTCAGACACCCCATAAGAGGACATCAGATCTCATTACAGATGGTTGTGAGCCACCATGTGGTTGCTGGGATTTGAATTCCTGACCTCTAGAAGAGCAGTCAGTGCTCTTAACTGCTGAGCCATCTTACCAGCCCAGTGATCTTTCGAAGGATTTAGAACTTTATTTTTAATCCCAGCACTTGGGAGGCAGAGGCAGGTGGATTTCTGTGTTCGAGGCCAGCCTGGTCTACAGAGTGAGTTCCAGGACAGCCAGGGCTACACAGAGAAACCCTGTCTTGAAAAACAAAACAGAAAAAAAAAAACTTTATTTCTGCTAGACTGGATAGCCAGCAAACCCTGGGGATCCACTACTCTCAGCTCAGCACTGGGCTTACAAACTTGGACTGCCCCTCCTGGCTTTTTATGTAGGTGCTACGGGTTTACACTCCAGTGAGCCTCAAGAGTGAGCAGCAAGCACTCTGCGCAGAGGCCCTAACCCCCTACTGCTTTTATTTTCTATGCACTTTAAACCAGATGTTATATATCTAGGCACCTTAACTCTACGAGGGTGGGGGTGGGGTGGCGCAGGTTCACCCTCTGCACTCAGGAAGTTTGGACTCAGCTCATCCGCACCCCAGAGTGTGACACTGAACTCACGGGGAAACTGATGCTAATCACGCACACAGCTGCTCACTGACAGTGTCCCGTGTGCATACACCTGCAGCTGTGCTGGCCCAGGGATCCTCAAGGAGCTCAGCAATGACCCCTGTGCACAACCTCCTTGGGAGGGCCTCCACTGCGGTGACTTAGGTGGCACTTCCTTGCAAAGCCAGGATGAATTTGCTCTTTCAAATTCCAGCACTGTGACCAGGGACTGAGGACCTTTCCCACGTTTGTAGTCTTCTGACGTTAAATGAAGTACTTTGTGTCAAAACTGTCCGGTGGACTAGGGAGGGTTCGCTGGCTACGAAGAACCTAGGATAGTTTTAGGCCAAGAACCCACGCCTGTCTCTATCTGTTGTATAAACAATGGAAGACAGAGACAAAGTCCCGTGTCTGTCCTCTTTCTAGGTATAAGGGAAATGGAGCCAAAGACAGAGGTGGGGACAAAGACAGGCAATGTCACAGAAGCGTATGTGACACCGGCACACACTAATCTCCCTCTCACTTTTATGGGAAGAGCAAGGTGACAACCATAGTGCAAAGCTGAGCTGAGGGTGGGAAACAGCCAGAACTAAGTTCCTGGAACTTTAATAAGGAGGAATGACCGGCAAACTTGCTAGAACTAGCAAAAAAAAAAAAAAAAGCTGGGCGACTGCAAGCAGCGTAGAGTTGAGTGCAAAACCCCGCCCGCCTCCTGCGGGCCGCCCAGTGGCGGGCGCAGAAGAAACGCCCCCCGGCCGGGTGCACCCTCTGCACGCGGAGACTGCGCCCAGCGGGAAGCTTGCGCTTAGCTCTGCCACACCCCGTAGCACTAGGGCAGGGACGAGTGCACCGGCGTGCAGCGAAGAGGGCGGGGCTATCTCACACAGCCCAGAAGCTTCTATCTCAGAAGCTTCTATCTATCCTATTTCCTATTAGGCCACCCAGGGGTGCTTCAACCTCTTCAAATTGTTGGGGAATCAGAAGAGTGGGTACATTCTGCACAACCCAGTCAGCGTCAAGGCAGCTGAGAGTCTTGGGGGCAAGGTCTGGAGGACCTTTGCACACGGAGTGGGGCTTTAACTCTGAACTGAGCAGGCAGGTTCCTTCGTTTCCAAGTGCCTCCCAGAAGCCTAGCTGATTTTTCTGCTTATTTCTTTGGACCTTAAGTCATTTGCATTGAAAAGCGCCCCCAACTGCCCCTGTGTCCCTCGTAAAGGACTTAAGAGCACACGTTTTCTGAAATAAAAAGTATTAGCTCAGGTCACATCCAAGACTAAGGTCTCAGCACCAACGGAGTGGGGTTATTTGGCCTAGAGAGCCAGAGGACCAGAGGGCAGGGAATAAGAGACAAAGACAGGAGATAGGGGACAAGGGAGAATGGAGGGGGGCAGAGATATTTGTCCTAGAAGGACAGGAGACTGCCCCTAGAGAGAGAGGAGACAGGAAAATGGTTGTTTATAAATGTACAAGGGGAAACTCTGTTAGGATGAGGTGTTTAATTTTTACTGAGCATGTTTATTAGGTGAGCCAAAGGGGGCTTTTGATTGCTGCACTTCAATACTTTGCTAGCTGGACCTTGGTAATCAGCTTCAGGAGGAGGGATTGCTCAAATAAGAGAACAGACCTTGGTGGCAAGCTTTAGGAATGGAATCTAGTGGTTTTTCAACAAGACAGAGGGAATGGGGGAGAAGGGCAAGGCCTGCCAGAGCCGTGCTTGCCACTGCTGCCCAAAGTTCCTTCATTTTCATTTCTGGAGAAAGTGAGCTCTTTACTGTATGTTGCTGGTTCTCTCTCTAAGGAGCCCTTTGCTAGTTTGTCCGCTCCCCCACCCCCACCTCAGCAGCTTCACCACACTTAGGAACTTACTAAGTTCCTTCCATTCCTCCATCTTTCCCTCAAGGTACTCAGGTTTTCATTTCAAGGGACAAAAGATTGGGCTCTAACCTGTCCTGTCCATCTTCACCCTTGCACTCGCCTCTCTGGAGCACCTCACTTTCTTTTCTGTGGGAAAAACATCTGAGAGAGAATGTACTTCCCAGCAGTAGGGTGGAGAGGTCCGATGGCATGCTTCTATGTGTCTCACAGGAGGACAGGGGGAGAAGGGCCCGCCCAGACATGCACAGCAATGCTACCCTCAGGGAGCCTGCCCTGGCTCTTGCTCTTGTCTCTAGCTCTCTCTGCTCCCCACAGGTGGCTCATGCAGCTGCAAAGACTGTAAGTGTGCCTGCAGCCAAAGATCTCAGGGCTGGGGCTGAGCTTGGGGGGGAGAGGGAAGACACAGCTGGCTCTGGTTGTGTGACTTTAGGGACATTGGCTATCCTTTAACCCCTTGAAGACCATTCTGCTCCCACTCCAAAATTTCTGCATCATCCTTAGGTCCTAAGACTAGGTAGGCTTATTTCTATTGGGATGCAAACCCTGAAGGACAGACAGAGCCCAGGTCTTCCTTAAAATGTCTCCTCATAGGAGCATGGAGCTGTGGGCGTGTCCTATCCGTACTTGGGAGGTAGAGGCAGGAGGATCCTAAGTTCAAGGCTATGTCAGACCCTGTTCATTAATGAATAAACAAACACTTAACAAATTCTTTGGTGTGAGGCCCCGGAGAGGTTAACATTGCCTCACTCCTTCCTTCTCGTCTTTCTGAGGCTGCTGCTCAGGCCGCCCTGTGGCCTGCTCCAAGTGTGCCCAGGGCTGTGTCTGCAGATGGGCGTCTGACAAAAGCACCTGTCGTGGTTGACGACATGACAGCTGTTCTGTTCTCACCTGTAAAGAGAGCAACATGTGAAGAATAGGATTCATTCTTAATATAACCCTGCCATGTATGTATATGCATGTTTATCATAATATAACCCTGCCATATATGTATATGCATGTTTATCAAGTACACGAACAACAATGAAATTTGATGACCTCATTCTGATCAGCCTTTCTGTGCTGTGTGAGGCTTGGGAGACGGGACTGAGGTGAGGGATTTAACAGCAAGGCTGAGACCTGCACTGTGGACTCAGATGTTAGAGTCTCACCCCTACACAAACTGCACAGGTAGGGCACGTTAGGCTTCATGTTAGGCACACAGGAAAGCAGGAGTGTTGACAGGGAGGCAGACCTGTTCTGTCCATCCTCCTTAGACAAGTTCACAGTGCAGGGACCTCTATCTTCTACTTTCACGCTCTGACTCCCTCTCTATCTTCTTTTGTTTTTTTTGTTTAATTTTTATTTTTAAATTTTATTTACTTATTTATTTATTTATTTTGTTTTTTGAGACAGGGTTTCTCTGTGTAGTTCTGGCTGTCCTGGAACTCACTCTGTAGACCAGGCTGGCCTCGAACTCAGAAATCTGCCTTCTCTGCCTCCCAAGTACTGGGATTAAAGGCTTGCACCACCACTGCCTAGCTTTTTTTTTTTTTTTTTTTTTTTTTTTTGGTTTGTTTATTTTCCGAGA